TCAGAAAGGGCTTTCTTCTGGCAACCCTTCCAAAGAGTCTGTGGTTGTGGAGGTGGTGTCTGGTGGTGCCTTTTGAAACCTGGTGACCGTCACAGTGATTCTTGGGGATGTTGTTGCTTCTCTCACCATCCTCCTCCCTATCCTGTGGGGCAAAATGCATTTGCGTCCTCTACCCGTGAGGTTTTCAACTGTTCCATATCTTTTTAATTTTTTGATAATTGCCCTGACAGTGCTCAGTGGTATATTCAATCGTTTGTGGATCTTCTTGTAGCCATTACCAGATTTATGAATGTCTACAACCATCTGTCTCTTTTGAACTGCCAGTTCTTTTGTTTTCTTCATGGTGTTGGATACAAAGGGATATTGCATGTGTGTTACCTCATTTTTATACCCTAGTGAAACAGGAAGTGATGTAATGGCTAAATATAGAACCTTAAGACTTAGATAAACTTAAATACGTGGAATTTAATTCCTGGTTTAATTTTGGTAGATGTTATTTACAAAAATCTTTAAGGGTGCCATTAATTGTGAAACCTTGATTTTGAGGACATTGATTTTTAATTAAATCAATAAATGATTTTGGTGGGTTCCATTGGAGCATTAATAAAGTACAGTATTTCTCACATGTTGGTATTTTGAGTTTATCTCTATAATTATATATTTTTTTTTTTTTTTACTATTATTTGTGCATTGCCAGTCAGGGTTGCCAGTAATTTGGGAACCCACTGTAGATGAGATATTTCTGTATTTCATTTTCAATACATTTGCTCAAATTTCTAAAAACATTATTTCACTTTGTCATTATGGGATATTGTGTGTGGATGGGTGAGATTTCTTGTTGTTGATTTAATCCGTTTTCAATTCAGGCTGTAACACAACAAAATGTGGAATAAGTCAAGGGGTATGAATACTTTCTAAAGGCACTGTATACAGTATGTCTCTTATGCAAATCAATGATAACAAAATTATATTTATTTGTGATCTGCTGAATATAGTTTTATTGTAACTAAAATGTTGTTCATTGTATTTTAGGGAAGTGGTGCTATTTCAGAGGAACAACCCAGCTAGCACATAATGTTCTGAGAACCATGTTTCTTAGAGCTTGGTGAGAGCGTGGTTGTCCTATGGTTATTTTGCATACAACCTTCCCACAAGTTCTGGGAATGGTGCAGGATAGTTGCTTGGCTTTGGAACATTTTCAGCACATTTAAGGAATTTGACAAAAATACGATATTTTCTTGGCATTTCTTTACTTTAACAGAACGTTTCCTAAAAGTTCAAAAATGATTACATTTCATTTCTATTTTGGCAATGCTCTAGGAACGTTCTCAAACTGGTTTGACATTAGGAATGTTATCAAATAGTTCAGAGAATGTTAAGAAACAACATTCTTCTGTGGGAATTTCAGTACTACAGCATAACATTTCCTGCAGGTTTCCTCATGGTTCTATTTAGAGTCATGTTCTCAAATTGTTCCAAGAACGTTAAGAAACAACGCACTTCTGTGGGAATTTCAGTACTACAGCATAACGTTTCCTACAGGTTTCCTCATGGTTCTATTTAAAGGACAATTCCCCCACTTTATAACCAGTTATTATGATTTCTGTATATATGCAGTCCGTAAGATTTGATACATTTGGATGTTTTATGGTTTTTGTTAGTCATACTGCACGATTCCTTGTTTTTGTTATTTTGAAGCTTCTGTATTGCCCTCGTCTACAGCATACTATGATTCCCTGGGTGCATTTTGTCTCCCATGATGCAATGCTCTGTCTCGTTAGCCTGCAGTCTAAAAATGAAGCTTAGCCCAAATAAAGGCTTTCCACTAGACGTTGGAACATTGCTGCGGGGACTTGCTTCCATTCAGCCACAAGAGCATTAGTAAGGTTGGGAAATTAGGCTTGGTTCGCAGTCGACGTTCCAGTTCATCCCAAAGGAGTTCAATGGGGTTGAGGTTAGGGCTCTGTGCAGGCCAGTCAAGTTCTTCCACACCGATCTCAACAAAGCTTTTTTCGTTTATTTTTACCCCCAATTTCGATCTTGTCTCATCGCTGCAACTCCCCAACGCGCTCGGGAGAGGCGAAGGCAGTGTCATGCGTCCTCCGAAACATGACCCAACTAACCGCGCTCCTTAACACCCACCAGCTTATCCCGGAAGCCAGCCACACCAATGTGTCGAAGGAAACACCGTTCAACGGTTGACCGGGGTCAGCCTGCAGGCAACCGGCCTGCCACAGCATACAATGACAGTCGCTAGGGCGCAGACTCCTTGAGCCAAGTAAAGCCCCCCTGGCCAAACCCTCCCCTAACCCGGACAACGCTGGGCCAATTGTGTGCCGTCCTATGGGACTCCTGGCCACGGCCAGTTGTGGCACAGCCCGGGAATGAACCCGGGTCTGTGGTAACGCCTCTAGCACTGTGATGCAGTGCCTTAGACCGCTGCGCCACTCGGGAGGCCCTCGACAAACCATTTCTGTATGGATCTAGCTTTGTGCACGGTGGCATTGTCATGCTGAAACAGGAAAGGGCCTTCCCCAAACTGTTGCCACATTGTTGGAAGCACAGAATTGTCTAGAATGTCATTGTATGCTGTAGTATTAAGATTTCCCTTCACTGGAACTAAGGGGCCTAGCCCGAACCATGAAAAACAGCCCCAGACCATTATTCCTCCTCCACCAAACTCTACAGTTGGCACTATGCATTGGGGCAGGTAGCGTTCTCCTGGCATCCGCCAAACCCAGATTTGTCCATCGGACTGCCAGATGGTGAAGCGTGATTAATCACTCCAGAGAATGCGTTTCCACTGCTCCAGAGTCCAATGGCGGCGAGCTTTACACCACTCCAGCCAACGCTTGGCATTGTGCTTGGTGATCTTAGGCTTGTGTGCGGCTGCTCGGCCATGTTAAGTACTTCTGTTATTTGACATTCTCGGAATGTGTACTCATATATAGCCATTGTTTTCAAATGTTCTGCGCATGACACTTCATTCCTGAAACAAGAGACTGATAGTCTGGGTGGCACTCCAGATTCACCCAACATCAATGCAACCCTGACACAAGTGGGACAACAGTAACTATAGTTTTTAAAGGGAGTTTGGGTTGTTAAAGGGGAGTGTACCTGAATAGGCATCTGTAGAACTGATTCTATGGGGTAATAATGCTGCGTTCATAACCAAGTGGGAAGGTGGCATTTGCCACATACGACTGGGAAAAATCCACTTGAACACCCCTACAACTGGTATTTACTAGTGGGAAACTGTCATCCCCGAGCACCTTCTCCCACATGCTGACCTCGGACGTCACCTTCTAAGGAAATTACCTCTAACAGCATTTTCTGCATTAAATGCAACAAACCATAAAAAGCAATTTATTCATATGGTTTTTTTAACACTCATGTTTATATGACAGCTTTTAGTTTATGGTTGATGCAGCTTGTTGGCCATTAGCCGATCTGCGTTCCTCAAAGAATGTGAATGCATCCAACAAGTATTTACAACTTTACAAGGGGTTATGAACACAGCAAATGTCACTGCTGGCGGGAGGAGACTGGTGAGGCGATCCACTGCTGTAGGTTACACCATTGAGAAGAGCTTCTAAAACACAAATACTGTCAGATGACACCAAATGACGGGCAGAAAACAATCCTGGTAGGTTCAGGATCACAAATGGGTACAACATTTAGCAATGTGATTCTTTGTTTTACTCATACTTTGTTGACATTTTTACAATCGGTTGTTCAAGACTGCACAGTGTTAAAAACCAACAGTCACTCCTGTCCAATGATCCTGAACATATCCCCTGTGGCCACTTAACATTCACTGACTGCATCCAACACTACAGGGCCACTGTTAATAAGGTTAGTCATTCAGCAGACGCTCTTATCCAGAGTGTATAAATGTTTTCATAATCACATACTGTAGTAACTGTTAAGAGAGCCATTTGGGAGAATTGAACAAACATATCCACACTTCTGAACATTGCGAATACAAATGGTGGTGCTTTTGTTACTTGGTAATAATAATAATAATAATAATAATAAGTGCAATAACGAGTTAAAGTACTTACAATTCACGTTTTCATTATTGAATATGTAACAGTAACTTTACACCACTCCACAAATAAAACAGACCCACAAACATAATATTTGTTTCTCTTTTCAGTAAGTTAATTGATCCCTGAAAATGACTGCTAGCCTATTTATGGTTGTAAGTACATGGATGGCATAGGCAACATAGAATGATGTTCAACTGAATCGTCAAGTGCCAGAGTGGAAACCTGTTAAGACAGCACACTGTAGAATGACAGAGGGCAGGAGGAGAATAAATAAAAACCTGATGACCTGTAGGCACGGTGTGATTCAAAACTTTAGAAGACCACAAATCCCATGAGCCTCGATCGCAACCCGGTTCAACCCTGTTTAATGCCGCGTTCATAACCAAGTGGGAAGTTGGAATATGCCACATACGACTGGCAAAAATCCACTTGAACAGCCCTCTGTGTGGGAAACAATCATCCTGAGCTCCCACATGGAGACTTCTGACGTCACCTACTAAGGAAATTACCTCGATAACGACAGTTAAATGCAACAAAACATTTATAAAAGCTATCTATTAATATGGTTTTTGAATACTATAATTAGTTTGCAAGCATGATAGCTGTACTTTTAGTTTATGGTTTACGCAGCTTGTTTGCCATTAGCCAATAGGCTTTTCTCAACAAGTTCAAAGCATGTGAATGCTAGAGATCCTGGTTCGAATCCAGGCTCTGTCGCAGCCGGCCGCGACCGGGAGGCTCATGGGCGGCGCACAATTGGCCCAGCGTCGTCCAGGGTAGGGGAGGGAATGGCCGGCAGGGATGTAGCGCAGTTGATAGAGCATGGCGTTTGCAACGCCAGGGTTGTGGGTTCGATTCCCACGGGGGGCCAGTATGAAAAATAAAAAATAAATATGTATTCACTAACTGTAAGTCGCTCTGGATAAGAGCATCTGCTAAATGACTAAAATGTAAATGTATTTAAGACCTCACAACTGGTAAATTCCCACCTCCCACTTGGTTACGAACGCTGCATGCTGTCATCAGCTTCACTCTGTGTACCGAACAGCGTGCACCCTGCTTGTATGGGCAGTCCGCTGAGGGAAGGATGCGTTCTTGTGACAGAAAAACAGTGGGCCAATACAGGAGGCGGCTGTGCTGGAAGATTAGGGGGGGTGGTCTCCCTTTTCAGGGGAAATGTCTGAGGTCCATTGAGATGGCGGTTGATCATTTCTCTGTGACTGCGGCTGCCATGGGGATGCGGATTGTGGCTTGTGCCGTTGCTGCCAGCTCCTCGATCTCAGTGTTTAACCGCCTGATGACCCACTCCATCGCCTCTCGTCCCTGAACACAACACAAATGGGGAAGTGATGGGCTGAACATGGCCATACATGGATAAGCTTGTTTTATCTCATACTATTTCCACTCAAATATTCCATCCAGGCTGCAGGTGTAAAGTGAGGACTTACTTTGCCTGCGTTTGCTGAGATGGTTTTGGCCATGAGCCCCTCTAGGTAACTGCTCAGACTAATTCCTTTTACAGAGATAAGTGCCTCTTGTGTCAGTATGGTCCTAAACATAAGGATAAACAGAAGAAGAAAAAACTAAGCTGTGAAACTAAAACCTATTTATGAATTCTGCTGTATTTAACCTTTAAATCAAACCATCAACAACAACAAAAAATTACTTACTTTTCGGGATCCTGCGGATGCGGCCTGTATGTTAACTTCTCGTCCACAGATACTATGTTAGTACATGAAATCTGAAAGCAGAGGAAAGTGCATCAATGTCAGTTTATAGGGCTGAAAGGTGGAGTTAGCTACACTATCCACAAATGTACACTTTACAAAGATATAAATGCAACATGTAAAGTGTTGGTCCCATGAGCTGAAATAAAAGATCACAGAAATGTTCCATAGGCACAAAAAGCTTATTTCTCTCAAATGTTTTGCACAAATTTGTTTACATCCCTGTTAGTGAGCATTTCTCCTTTGCCAATATCATCCATCCACCTGACAGGTGTTGCATATCAAGAAGCTGATTAAACAGCATTTTCATTACACAGGTGCACATTGTGCTGGGGACAATAAAAGGCCAGTCTGAAATCAGTTGTGTCACACAACACAATGCCACATATGTCTCAAGTTGAGGGAGTGTGCAATTGGCATGCTGACTGCAGGAATGTCCACCAGAGCTGTTGCCAGAGAATTGAATGCCAGATCATTGAATGTAAATTTCTCTGTCATCAGCTTCACTCAATGTCATTTTAGAGAATTTGGCAGTACGTCCAACCGGCCTCGCAACCGCAGACCATGTGTAACCACGCCAGCCTAGGACCTCCACATCTGGCTTCTTCACCTGCGGGATCATCTTGAGACCAGCCACCCGGACAGCTGATGAAACTGTGGATTTGCACAACCGAAGGATTTCTGCACAAACTGTCAGAAACCGTATCAGGGAATCTCATCTGCATGATCGTTGTCCTCACCAGGGTCTTGACCTGCCTGCAGTTCGGCGTCGTAACCGACCTCAATGGGCAAATGCTCACCTTCGATGGCCACTGGTATGCTGGAGAAAAGTGCTCTTCACGGATGAATCCCGATTTCAACTCTACCGGGCAGATGGCAGACGGCGTGTATGGCGTCGTATGGGCGAGTGGTTTGCTGATATCAACATTGTGAACAGAATGCCACATGGTGGCGGTGGGGTTATGGTATGGGTAGGCGTAAGCGATGGACAACAAACACAATTGCATTTTATCGATGGCAATTTGAATGCACAGAGATACCGTGAGAAGATCCTGAGGCCTATTGTCGTGCCATTCATCCGCCGCCATCGCCTCATGTTTCAGCATGATAATGCACGGCCCAATGTCGCAAGGATCTGTACACAATTCCTGGAAGCTGTAAATGTCCCAGTTCTTCCATGGCCTGCATACTCACCAGACATGTCACCAATTGAGCATGTTTGGGATGCTCTGGATCGACATGTACAACAGCGTGTTCAAGTTCCTGCCAATATCCAGCAACTTCGCACAATCATTGAAGAGTGGGACAAGATTACACAGGCCACAATCAACAGTCTAATCAACTTTATGCGAAGGAGATGTGTTGCGCTGCATGAGGCAAATGGTGGAAACACCAGATACGGACTGGTTTTCTGATCCATGCCCCTACCTTTTTTAAAGATATATGTGACCAACAGATGCATATCTGTATTCCCAGTCATGTGAAATCCATAGATTAAGGCCTAATGATTTTATTTCAATTGACTGATTTCCTTATATCAACTGTAACTCAGTAAAATCTTTGGAATTGTTGCATGTTGCGTTTATATTTTTGTTCAGTATACATCCGACAACACATGTGAACTCACATTTGTAGATTGCAGCTCAAAGGTTTTTTTCTTGGGGTCCACCACCGAATGTTCCTGGATGTATGTGTTTGTTCGTGTTATACCAATGAGCTGGGATAAAAGACAATGACATCACTGTCAGTGATATGTTTGACATCACTGACAAAACAATACATCCTCAGATATGTTGACTTACAAGTTTCAAGGTTTGAGAAACATTTACCCAACAACTTCATGCTGTCTTGATTACACAACACCAGTGGGCCTTCTAGCTGAGACAGCCTTCAGTAAAGTAGCAGAGCTGAGGTCATGGCAGTGCCCAATCATGTAATTACCACAGAGCTGTAAAGATAGCGAACTGTTCTGAGCATTACCCACTTCCCCAGAATGAGCATCATTCAATATTTTGGCTAGTCTAACAGCAAGCCTACACATACCGACTTAGCCCCTGAACTAAACCTAACTGCTCTGATTGAATTTGTCAACATTTGTACAGTCAACTTCTGATAAATGCAATGGATTTGGATTGTTGTGTGTGCAGCAAAGTAAAGTACATCGATATCTACAGCAGTTAAAAGACAATGTATCTGCATTGGGACTGGTGACCTGCAATGCACTTTTCAGGAGAATCGTATCAGTGGCAATATTGGAGACAGGCATCCAGTGTGCTGAGGACTTACAGTCTTGGCCAAGGAGGGAAGTCCCCATTCTGTGCTGAGCAGTCTGTTGCTGTATAGCCGGCCCTGTGTGTCCACGTGTCTGTTCAACACATCCACCCCTACCACGCCAGGGTTCATCGGGTTGGGGTACTTCTGCATTGCCGCCTTGGTCACCGTCTCCCATGGGTGGCTGTGGGGGGACAACACAGGAAATCAATATTACTGTAATACTATCATAATGTGTGCATATCATAATGTTATCATGCGGACATCCTGGCATGCACCAAAATGAACTCATTTGAAAACCTGTCCTGACATTTTTTATCTGACTAAACTGCACGGTGAAGGAAGTTACTGATGAACTCCAACAATGGAGTGGAGCAGAGACCAGGCTTTGGGGAATTCAGTTCTGACTAGATTGATTAGCCCAAGGTCAATACTTCCAAAAAGACAAATAAAAAAATGAAACGTTAACCTTGTACCCATGTTTGTCCTCTGTAGTTGCGTGCCTTTCTTTGCTGAAATCCATACTTTATCAATAAACGTTAACCAAATACAACCATCGACTGTTTCCTTGTTGAGATTCAATTGGCACATGCGCATTTGCGCTGAGTTGCCATCTTAGAGCAACAGCAATGATGACAGTCAGTGGTTGTATTTGATGAATGTTTATTTTAAAAAGTATGGATTTCAGCAATCAAAGAAAGACACGCAACTAGAGAGGATAAACATATGTACAAGGTAAGCCTTAAATAATTTCCATTTTTTTGAAGTATTGACCTTGGGCGAATCGATGTAGTCGGAGCTGAATTCAACAAAGCCTGGTCTCTGCGTTTTCAGACAGCACTGGGACAATTTAGGAAACTTGGGTGAACGATGCGTCTAGCCAGAGATCCGGCAAATACACAATTACACCGATTGGTGGGAGCTAGTAATTAATTTAAATGTTAGTCATTTAGCAGATGCTCTTATCCAGAGCGACTTGCAGTTAGTGAGTGCATACATTTTTCATACTGCCCCCCGTGGGAATCGAACCCACAACCCTGGCGTTGCAAACGCCATGCTCTACCAACTGAGCTACACGGGGCTATATCACACTATATCTCAATTGGGCCAAGGGCTACATCACTTGCGGGGTACGACATGTTTACTGTTGCCATGTTTTAGCTTTCCTTCCATGTTGGCTTGGATTGTTGCTGTTCTCATTATACATCAGTGACTGTTACGTAATGAGAAACACACCTTTAACGACATTTCGATTCACTTCCGGTCGTAGCTGACTTTTTCATAGCAGGTTACGAGAACATAATGAATTCGTATGACTTTACACAAGTACAGGCCAATCACCCAAATCCCGTGACATTCTGACAGTTAGCAAGTTCGACCACTGGATACTTCGGCTGGAATGCATTGACATAGTTAGTTAGTTACTTGTAATGTTGCTAACTTGCAGCGTTAGCTAGCTAGTATTATTCGTCTGGTTAGTTAAAAATCCTGTTCAGTAACGTTAATGGTACAATTAAGGCTAGCTGTTTTCTCGATAGCCATTCGTAGAAGCCATCGATTTCAACAATAGTTAGCTACAGCAATGGACAGAGTTTGATGTGTTGCTTGCTAGCTATAACGTTAGCTGCTCTAACTAACACTCATTGACTTGTAATGGCAGCAGGCTAGCTGGCTAAAGTCAAAGAGCTAACGGTGGCTGCTAGCTAGCTACAAACTTAAATAAGCCAGCTATATAACGCAATATCAAGCGTATTTAAAATGAACACTTTCTAAATCATTGTTAATTAAATTAATAAATTACTCACTTGAATATGTGTTCGGAGGTCCAGATCTTCATGTTTTAGACCGTTTTGTCGGGCTTGCGAGTCGGCGACTTATGACAGCTTGACCTCAGCTGTGAAGGAAACTACGTTGACCCACTAGTTCAAAATTATGTGATTCTTCTTCTTCAGTGGGGTTTATCGGCGGTTGGCATCCAACGTTATGGTGCATTACCGTCACCTACTGTACTGGAGTGTGGGCAAGAGACAGGGATAAACTAAATCCTACCTGCCAGCCCCGTTGGTCTTAAAAAAGATAACAAAATATTTGACACTATATCTAATGACGTTCTACTCAATACTCTTTAAACTAATTTCCTGTATCTCCTTCTCCTTCATACTAGATATAATCCGCTCTCTTTCCCTCTGATACTGCCCACACTGTAGCAATACATGCTCCACAGTTTCCTGACAATAATCACACTTTCCTGTTGGATGCATTCCTATCACATTTAATGTCTTATTCAACTGGCTGTGTCCCACCCTTAATCTTGTAAAAATAGCCTCCTCTCTTCTGTCCCTTCCTGCCGTCCTCCCCTCCCCGACTTTCCTCTGTACTTGAAATAAATGCCTTCCCTTATTATCTCTATTCCACTGCTCCTGCCATCTCTGCACCAACACTGTATATATCAGTATTTTTGCCTCTGCCTTGCTCATTGAAACTTCAACGTCAACATCCCCACTACTAAGTGCTTGTTTAGCCAGTACATCTACTGCCTCGTTCCCCTCCACATGGGCTGGGACCCAAGTAAATCTTATCTGTATACCCATCTTTTTAATCATGCCATGGGTTTGTAGCACCTCATAAAGCAGGTCTTGTCTGCTACGTGAGCTAAAGGACTGGAGACTCATTAACACTGCACATGAATCAGAGCAAATAACTACTCTGTCTTGTTTGACTTCCTCCACCCACTGCAAGGCCAACAGTATGGCCATCAGCTCCTCCGTATATACAGCCAGATGATCTGTAATACGTTTCCTGACTTCCACCCCACATTCCTGCACTACAAATGCTGACCCAGTATGTCCTGTCCTTGGATCTTTTGAACCATCTGTATAAATGGTCACAAAATCCTGATACACAGTATCCAGACGTCTCTTAAACAAATCAGATGGATCAACACTCTCCCTATCTTTCTGTAGTCTCTCCAACACTTCTAGATCAACTACTGGAGGCGGGAGTAGCGATGGTGGATTTACAGAAATGGCTACCGTTGGACTAAACTCCCTTCCATACAGTCCCATCTCCTTCGCCTGGGTATTACCCAACCACCCAAAGCTCGTGTTCTGTCTTTGCTCATGTTTCCAGCATGCCTGTAAAATCCCTTTCGCAGGATGAGACACCCCATGTCCTTGTAGGTTGACCCAATGAGGTCTACTACAGATCGGATCAATGCAACATACATGGTCTTCAATGAGGAACGCCCAGCCCCCCACTCCTTCCCCGTCAGACAGCGCATCACATCTTACACTTTCCCACCACTCTCTCAATGTGTTCTGCCCAGGTCAGTCTAGTGTCAAAGTATACCCCAAGGAACCTGAAGGCCCCCACCCTCTCCAAGTTTCTCCCATATAACCTCAAGCATACCTCATTTCCCACCTTCCTCCTGGTAAAGAACACTGTTTGAGTTTTCTCTACAGAGAACCTGAATCCCCACATTAATGCCCACCACTCTACCTCATCAATTGCTTCCTGTACCTTCCTGACTATGTATGGCACATTTCTTCCCCTCTTCCATAAGGCCCCATCATCTGCAAATAATGACCTCCCTATATCCGGCTGTACCTGAGAGTAAACATCATTGATCATGATTGAGAACAACAGAGGACTAATCACGCTCCCCTGTGGTGTACCATTATCACCAGGTAGCTGCCTGATAAAGACTTCCCCACCCTCACCTGGATAGACCTTCCAAACAGGAAATCCTTAATCCAGTTGTACGTTCTTCCTCCTACCCCCATAATATCAAGCTTGATTAACAATCCCTCCTTCCAGATCATATCATACGCCTTCTCCACATCAAAAAAGACAGCTACAACAGTCTCCTTGTTCACCTGAGCCTTCTTGACCTCTGCTTCTTAGCAGAGCACTGGATCCATAGTTACCCTACCTTTTCCTGAACCCACTCTGATGTGGCGATACTAGCCCTCTGCTCTCCAGGAAGGAAGTTAGCCTCTCCGTAATCATACGTTCCATAATATTACATACATGTGATGTTAAAGCTATTGGCCGATAGCTTGTTGGCATCGTGGGTCCTTCCCGGGCTTCCGGATTGGTACCACTATTGCCTCCTTCCAACTGCCTGGTAGTTTCCCCTCCTCCCACACTGCTGTACAACACCAATACCTTATCCAGTGCCTCATCACTAAGATGGGACAACATAACACAGCACACCTCATCTTCCCCAGGTGAAGTTAACCCAGCCTTACCTATTGCTCTTTTCACCTCTGCCCTGGTAAATGGTGCATTCAACCCATCATTTACATCCTCCCTCCTATCCAGAATTCCAGGATGCTCCTCTCTTGTGTTCTCTCTCCCCCTCTGCCCCTCCTCTGACAAATGTGCAGAGCTATGCACTTGGACAAATGCTTTAGCCATCATCTCTGCCTTCTCTTCATCTGTTACTGCCACATCATCCCCACTCATCAACACTGGATAATCCCACTCCCTTCTGACCCCACTCATCCTCTTAATCATCCCCAACACTTCTCCCACAGGTGTCGCCCTTCCAAAGGTGTCACAGAACCGACACCAATATGACCTCTTTGCCTGACGGATAGTTCTCCTCACCAGGGCCTGGGCCTGCTTATACTGAATCAGATGTCGGAAGTTATGTGTCCTTTTCAGTACTCTAAATGCCCTGTTCCTACTCCTCACCATTGCCCCACATTCCTCCGTCCACCATGGGACTGCTTTCCTCCCCCTCCTCCTCCTCCTCCTCCTCCTCCTCCTCCCTGAACTCTTAGGTATAGCCTCAGTAGCTGCCCCCACTAATGCTGTTCTCACCCAGTCATTTCATACTATCCACATCCCCTCTCATATCCACCCGAGCCATCACCTGCTCACTCAGCTCTCCGTCCCTCCCTGGTCCCCCCCCCCCGCCCCCCCACCATGGGACTGCTTTCCTCCCCCTCCTCCTCCTCCTCCTCCTCCTCCTCCTCCTCCCTGAACTCTTAGGTATAGCCTCAGTAGCTGCCCCCACTAATGCTGTTCTCACCCAGTCATTCATACTATCCACATCCCCTCTCATATCCACCCGAGCCATCACCTGCTCACTCAGCTCTCCGTCCCTCCCTGGTCCCCCCCCCCCCCCCCGCCCCCCCCTACCACATTTAACGGGCTATCAATCGCAAAGTGCAGACAAAGTCTCGCACCAGGAGTCAACGCTAGGTTACAAGAGAAGATTGCGGAGAGAAGGCACAGATAGAAGAATGGGTAAGTTATAAAACATATTTGGTTAAGTGATATTAAAGAAAGGAGGAGATAGGAATCCCATTGGGCAATGAATGGAGAAACGTATAACGCCCCACCCAGCAGACTGTCGACCAATCGCGTTCATGTTGTCATGCTGTGTGACGCGGTTGCTATACTAATCGTCACGCAATTCCTTCTGAAAGTCAGGGTATAAGTCGAGAAACCTGCCTATTTTCCTCGAAAGTACATAATGTCACGATTCCAAAGCTATACGATATTACAGAGAACAAGCTAATTATCTGACGTCTCGGAAAATATTTGTAATGTTGTACTTCTTGTTGACGAAATTCTTCGTCTTCGGTGAGGTTTAACTGCGGTTGGCATCCAACATGTTGCATTAACGCTCCTAACTTATAGTATAGATCCATTACACTTTGTGATACAAAATGGGAAAGGGTAACCGGCAAAATAATAAATAATAAAAATATATACAGCCGAGACCGCAACGGCTGTCAAGGCACTATACTGAACTTTGTGCAAACGGGAAAACCGCATATCCTGAGGCCGCATTTATTGTCGCTGGGGACCTTAACATCCTTAAATCGAGTGACGCACCCATTCAAAATGTGTCTGTTTAAACTAGAGATATATTTTTTTGTATGGGCTGTGTCTCAATCCACTGCATCCGCCGATGTCGGCCTTCCGCATCTGCGGTGGAAAATGGCAGAGTTACAGCGCTGATTGTCAGACCAGGAGACATCCCGAAAATCGGTCTTCTCACGAAAACGTCTGTAGTCGGCACTGTTGATGTGCCAACTTCTGTCTGTAGCATCCGAACCGTTTGGCTTACAAACTAATATGACCCCACTATGGAAAGGGGAGATTCTTAGGAACTTGATTGTGTTCTCCGTTTTGCTCTAGGGGAGTCATCTGAAGGTAACCCGGTACCGATTTAAAAAATGAATGGATTAAAAAATGAATGGAAGTATGGAAGTAGTTATGTGCCAACAAAAAAAAAGGGGTTAAATATGTGTCAAAAAATAAATAATATATATATATATATTTTCCTCATATATATTTCCTCAAGTGCATAGTGGATGTTGTTCCCACAGTGACGAATATAACTTATCCAAACCAAAAAACGTTGATAGATGGCAGCATTCGCGCAAAATGTCGTGGATAATTATCACTATACTTGTTAAAAATGCAAATGCATAGTCATGCTTATACAACCTACACAGTTACTCCATTATATGTACATGATTAACATCCTTCGGTGTCACATGTTGTTTACTCACAAGAGCTACGTGCGCTTCTCTAAATGGGGCCTCTGTCACTTATCTCATTATATTGGTGGCGTGATTCAAATAATTATATACATACATACATTAAAGAACAATCACACTGTGTATTGACTATATTCACTATCCAGGCATGCATCTGGAGTACAAAGTATCAATCATGTTAATTATGTTTTACCCTTATCCTTTCATAGCACATTATAAAACATATCAATTAATACTTAAACAGGGTTTACACATGCCATGTCCATAACCCATTCTTAACCACATACATTTAAGCCTTCCCCAACAGCCATCCTCCCTGGACCTTAAGCCACTATGGTTTTTCCTTGTGACTATGTGCATGTGACTATGTGCATCAGGTCATAAGC